CTAAGTCTGAGATAAGCACTATGTGGCTGTAATTGTTACTATTCAGTCACTTCGAAACATTTACACATGGAATTATTTTTAGATTTAACAGATGCACAATTTACAAATTGGGGTGACAAAGAAGAGGACATAGAAAACAAAGAGAAAATCCATCTGTTATTCCCGATTTAACACCAGTCGGACTAGATAACGTGCAGCAAATGAATTTAAAAGATCATTTAAATCAGTGAAGTGACTAAAATCAAACGAATACACAAAATAGCCTGAAATTAGCTAGTGATGCAGAAAGTTAACTGTGCTCAACTGATCTAAATCAGTTTGTTTTCATTAGAGGGGGACATATATAAACATCAAAAGCTAGGATATATTTCATTATGTCAGTAGGTCGAGTCTAAATTCTGGTTGAAGAATAGAACAAAATCTTTAAGCAGGCTTTGACACCATGTTTAGTTCCTGTTTCAGTAAATTGGAATTGTCAATAATTTGAGAAGAGAGTTTCAGTACTTCCAGAATTCTGGAGAACTAAGAGCTACTGTATAAGAAGATAATATAAAAATAGAAGTTGAAAGAAAGACCAAAATTTGAATTAAGGGTGTATTGGATTGAAACATTTCTGAATGTAGAGCAATTGAAGTCCAAAAAGATGCAAAATTATGTGAAATAACTACGGTTCCTTTGGAGAACGAATAACGAATTATATAAATTAGACATACGTGAATATTTGATAGGATTAAGGTAACTAGTTCTCTGAAAAGATGATCATTTTTCCAAGCCAGAAAGAATAACATGGTCTAACTTTTATAGACAGCAATAGGCCTTAATCAAGCAGCAGCTACCTTTTCTCTTCGATTACACAGAAAAAAAACACAAGCAGGTAACATATATGATCATGGTGACAGAATTACCTTCTCTCTTTCATGTCTGGTAAATGATACGAAGATAAGAGGTCAACATTCTGTATACTATACATAACTACAGCCCAGACGATGTACACTGAGAAGATTATAACGCCAATCATTTCCGCAGCTGTAACAACCCCAAATGGTCCATCCACCAGCACAGGGAATGTCCATAATCTAAAATTTGGACCTTTTCCAGCCTTCTTGCTACAACAATTAAAAATTCTATATGAGTTCACAGTTCAAATATAACATCATGTTCTTATAATCAAGCTAGCAGATATACACACACACACATACATTTGAGGTTGATCTTCACCCGCGACAACGAGACGAATAATTGCAAGAAATGCAATCAAGATAATTGGGAAACTGAATATCAAGGATGTGCTGCCTGCAACCCAATAGAAACTGAAATTGCTAACAAATTGTAAACAACAAAAGCAAAAAACTTTCAAGTTATGAAAAAACCTGCTGTCCCAAAAATAGATCCTTTGGTAGCTGTAACAATTGTCCCAAAAAGTTCATTAGTGAATTTTGTAGGCAACAAGAAAATAAAAGCAGCCCATGTAATAAAAGCCACCCACATTACTACTTTGAGAATCAACTTTGTTGATGATACCAAAAGTGGCGTCTTATTGAGATAATCAAATTCATCATCTTTTTTCAAAAGAAGAGGTTCTTGGCTTGAGAGTTCACCCATTTTAGAATCTTTAAACTTTATTAGCTTATATCAAAACACACCTAAAGTAGTTACCAATATATACAAAAAGGTTTTAGAAGAAACCAAAGGCATCAACATTCAATATGGGTATGTACAGAATTTTAAGCTGAAATCTGGCAGAAATTAGGCCACAGAAAATTGGACCACTCAAAAATTAGCCTTGGAGAAGATAAATACTTTGTATTCATTGAGAAATACGAGGTAGTATAACATTTAATCATGGAGACATGGACCATACTTTTATTAGTCTTTAGTAGGTTTTTTACAGTACGTTCCACAAACTTTAGAACAAAAGGGAGAAAATGATGACTTTAGTCACAACGGTGAATGGTGATGATGAGCTTGAATTATTCATTTATTTGTTTCAGATTCTGTGTTTTTCACTAGTAAAATATGTTTGAAACTTGAGATGTTATAAAATTCATCAACTTTTATTTGAATTATGTTCTTATATTAAAAGTTCATCAAATATATTAAAAATGCCATGTGGGAACTCATTAAAAGATTGTGTTGTCGGTCTAATGGTACAAAAAGAAACGTTTAAGCTTTCCTTTCCTTACTTCCAAAGTAAAAGATGAAAGGGTAATTTCGTTACAATGAAAAGTAAAGTTGATAATTTCGACATATAATCTATAGTTAAAAGAGGCTGAATATTTTGATTTTTGAATCGATAATCTAAAGAAACAATCTTTTAATAATATAAAGATCGAAATAAAATATACGTACTCTCTTTCTAAAATCATATTGTTATGTGTGGTCATGTATAAATGACTTAGATTTTTTTTTTGTTTTTTTCTCTGGTGGAACAAATTCTTCAACAACTAGTCCCCTACCAAACCCACAAATATTACCGTAGTAAATTACTACTAGTAACTAAAGAAACACTCACTTTCATAATTCAAAATTTCTTCCCCAATTTGCCCTTTCCAAAGTAGGAGTAAAAAATTTGCTCGTCCGCAGATTTCCAGTAAACATTTGCGTCTTTCTTTTTGCCGAGTAAATAAAAAGGCGCCAATTTGAAAAATAAAAAAAATATTCGTATGATTTTCGTCTTTCGACCATCAATTCCTCCATCAGGATTGACAAAACTGAACAAAAGTACTTCTCTCTGTAAAATTAAGAAGTCAAAATAAAGGAAAGTCTTAAATTAAAGTCTAATCCAGGGTAAGATTGAGATTTCATAATTTCTAGATCGCTTTAATATCCAAAATTACAAAAGTACTTAAAAACATTTAAATAAGTCAATTACATTATTATTAATCTCCAGTAAACAAATATTTCATCTAAACACGTTAAAAAAGAATGGTCTAAGACGAAGTTTAAGAAAATAAAAAACACTTTAATGTGGTCCTAAATTAAAGTTATGTTAAATGTATGAAAATGTCTTTTGATCTTGCAGTTTTAAATATGTCACATGAAAAACTGAAATTAAAATGTTACAAAAAAAAACATTTTTTTTTAAACAGAGGAAGTTAAATTTTACTTATATTTCCCCCCTAAAATAGGTTTCAATCATCGAAACATATTTTTCAAAAGAAAATCATGAAAAATAACTTCCATTAAAACAAAACACACTTACACTATACTTTATATTTATTTCTTTTCTGTAATATTATGTGTGAATTATCTTATACTTGTTCCAAAATATTTAAGATTTCTCAATTTTATGCATCTACCTAACCCATACAGATAGGCAAAAGTCATTGGAAAATTTTCACCTCATATAATTTTCAAATTGTGAAATAATCAAATAAAACCATAAAAAAAACAATGGCGTGGCCCTTCCATAGCCTAAAGATATCCTACAGTTAGTTGCTAAAAGACACGATTTTTTTATGTTCCCTAATTTCTTGGAAGTGTGCAAATAACTATACAGAAAATGATGTAGGAATAAATGGTGCATTTGAAATCAGTATTTATTAACGTAAAACTACTCAAATTAATGTGATGTGAGCAAATTGATTGTGACATTTTCTGAAAGAATAAACTAGAGTCACTCATTCCTCACCCAAATTCAACATCAGCAACAGAATAGGTCCATTTGTAGGGACATCAAACATATATTTGAGGAATCTTATGGTGTATTTTCCGTTGCATTGTCCTTTTCAGTATGTCTTCGTCTCATATTACTTGTTCACGTTATTAAAAATATGTCTCAAATTATTATTATTTGTCAATTTATAAAATCAAGATATAAATTACTTCATAATGTGTTGTATCGTAACATATTGTTTTAATGAATACAATATTTGGATAGACTATATTGTTCTCCGTTAAATAATGTCACACATCTATAATTTGAATGATAAACCTATAAAAAAAAACTAAGGTATGGAATAGAGTTACTATTAAAAGATATGGTAAATGATAAAATAAAATTATTAAATAATAAATAAAAACAAAATGAGAAGAAAATATTAAAATAACGATGCGATCACATCAAATCGATCGTTACACAAAATGAGTCTTTTTTTGTTGTTACTGCTACTAGAACATATGAACTAGCACATGAATTCCAGGGAACAACAGACGCTAGTAAAATCGCTTGTAAGTAAAGCTTAATTGACCACGGAAAGACAAAAGAAACAATGGGACAAAAGGTAAATAAAAGTAAGGAAATTGAAGGGAGTAGGATAAGATAACTTTCTCCAGGAAAGTCAATACCTGAAACGGCAATATATCTTACTTTGCCATGATTGTACAACTTGCAGCAATCTGTTTCTTAACATCGCAGTTTGTACGCTTAAGTTTTTTTTTCTATCCTTGACAGCAACTTTTTGCTGAATTCTCTGGCACAACACCAATGCAATTATAAGTGAGTGAAAAAGCTTAATCAAACATGGAAAGAGAAAAAAGGTAAATAAATTTAAAAGGGAATGCTAAGGAAAAGGCTAGGATAACTTTTCGTTACGAAGCCAATATTTGAATGGGGTATATATCTTCATCGTTATGCCAATAACTTGTTCATAACTTTCAGCAACGGTTGTCATCCTTGAAGCACCTATCTTGAAAACAAATTTTACGGAACTCTGTAGCATAGGTGTTCTAGGAGAACAATACAGAAAAGCAGAAACACGTGTGAGTGAAAAGACAAGTACAATAAGGGCAAGGAGTAAGTGTTGATGGCTCACAATTGAAAAGACACAACTTCCCATAAGCAGGCGGTGATATCATAAGCCATCACTTCTAGTATTACAATAATGATCTGTTTAACTGTTTTCTCCTCTCAAGTTGTTGTAGGGAAAAAAGTAACACAATAAAATTGGTGAGGCCATGACAGAATACCAACAGATTGGGTGGATCTAGTATGTACTGGCAAGTATTGTGAGGAAGCAAAATGTAGATTTGAGATAAGTGTTTATGGCTTGCAATGGAAGTGGCAGAACATCTCATAATCAAGCAGTGACATCATACGCAAAGATGCTATTGTCAAACAATAAGGAGGATGCTTTAATGTTGATTTTAGATGAGAATGTTTAACTGCAAGACGATCAAAAGGCCAAGATGGATGTTACCATATGAGGACAGAATAAGAATGTAAAACATACTATAATACCAAAAGCTACATTTATCTCTCTGTGATCTCCGCACACATAGCAAATATAATTTATGTACCTGCATGATGATAACATTAGATTCAAAGGATGTTAGCAGATTTTACATGAAACCACCATAAAACAAAGGACAGTGAAACTTACTGAATCTAGACTCTTAAGAGTTATTAGTTTCAAGTAGAGTTATTAGTTTCAAGTGGTACCTAGTTCGAAATGAACATAGTATTAAACTAGCTACTTCTCAGCATGGCTGCGAAATCATGAAGAGGTGTAATGCGATTTATGTTCTTTAGTTATTCCCTCATTACGACATTACCATGATTGGAAGTGACAAGTCGGTGGTCTCTTCCCAACTTTCCAGTTTATTCCTTCCGCCAAGTGCTCCTTGGTCGGTGTCAACATTACAAAGTTTGGATCAGCCTTTTCATAGCTGCAATTTCAAAGATGTCAAACAGTAAGAAATTTTCAAAGCAGGAAATGGGCTAAAAAGCTCCCATGAATTGATTTTAGGCCAGGAATCAGGAAATCAAGATTTTAATTTAACGTCTATATCTCTCTACCAGTTTTTCCCTGCCTTCCCTCTAAGATCTACTATGCTAATGAGCAATCGATACCTATTGATAATGTCACCACTACTAACCTGAGATCTGACAATCTACCATCACAATGTGACCAAATCCAAAACATCATTGACTAGGTCATCTAAATTGGGGTAAAGGAAGTAGAAAAAATATACTACTAAACCATCTTTCATTCAAATATACAGATATCAACAAAAGGAAAGTTCACATGTACTGTGGTTCTATCAAAATATCTAAAAGACAAACTCCAAGCATGACATATACTATCACATATGAATGCATATCAGGAGATATTAGCCACTTACAATGTTGATATTAAAACGATTTTACAAGAAAATCATGTCCGCGTCTTTAAGTTGCAAAAGACAGTCACCCTGGAAATTCACAATGCTAATAAATCCATCGGAAGAGGCAATATGAAAAAAAAACAGAAACATATTGAGCTCAAAAGCATAAAATCAAACTGGAAATGCAATTGATAGGACATGCCAGACTGCCATGGAAACTTAGCTTCTCGTCAGTGTGTTTCGATTTCACATTGGCTTCAGAAAACTTATTATTGTGAATAAGATACAATTTTCTCAAACTTCAGAAAACTTATTATTGTGAATAAGACACAATTTTCTCAAAGATACAAAGCATACAATTGACAGGTAAAAATCTGGTTGTAATAGAAAGGAAACAACCTAATTTCATAAAAAGGGGAAAGGCTCGCTGATTCATATAACTTCTTTTAGACACACAATTATTGTATCGATCAAATTGAGTTGATCAGTTTCAATAAAATAAATTACTGCTAAAAGGTGATTCCTTGAACAGTAAACAAAAACTGATTCCAAGTGTAAGCAAAATCTGATACAAAATGACATATACCTTTGTACTTCACCAAATAGCAAGAGAAGAGATTATTTCTCCAGTAATAATTCTGTCAATCATAGTCACATCATATTGGCTGTATTACCTCTGATAATTCAGCTCTTACCTTTTCACCTTTAACAATGGAAGAGATCAAAAAGAGCATAAGCAGCTCCAGCTTCCTTGCTAAGGAGTCTACACCGCCGAGAAGCAATACAAAGCTCAAGCGGAACTCGTCCACTGAAACACTATAAACTGCCACATAATAAACAAGACCAAAAGAATTTGATTTATCGATTCCAACTATAGTACTTCAATTGCATACTCACCAAAGTAAACACTCTTTTTTTGAGGATTAAAGTAAGCACACTCTTTACTAGGAAAAAAACAGATCAGTACATTATTTGTAACAAGTTATTGAAGACTATCTGCACATACATTTATTTTTCCCAACACTTGAAAGTTGGAAGCATTGTCTCATTAAAAACCCTTTTTCGGAAAATCCGCTTAATAAATCACCCATAGATGTCGCTAGATCTATAAGTGAACAAAAGAGCAGTAAAGGTAAGAGAAATGAATGGTGAACACATCAGCAAATATACCTTGATAATAGTTTGAATTTGTTCCTTTGTCTCATCATTTTTTAATAGCAAGTCATAATGCCCACGCCTATCATAATGCTGCAGAAAGAAAGTGTTTCAGCAATTTGGGAGGTGATAAATTAAAAAGCCCATGACAGGTTTAGCTAGTTATGGAAGATATGTGAGCAAACCTAAGCCCAAAAAGTATGTTCTGAAGAGGGCTCTTTTCGACACTGCAGCACCAAGCATAATGTTACCGTATAACCCAATTACAAAGTTAACAATTAAGCACGCATCAAACCAACAGAGACCATGACATCAAGAATGAGATCGGAAAGAACAAGCGCATCTCCGTACAAAGTTTTAAGACATCAATACCAGAAAGAACAGTATCTTCCTTAAGTTGATGTCAGTAGAGTCCAAAGAGTATCAATAAAACATGTGAAGTCAAACTGAAATTTTAACACCAAACAATCGCTTCAAATGCAATAGAGAGGATGAACGATCCAAATGGAAACACCTGACATGGAAAGAGAAGAAGTAATAAACTAAGAGGAAGCTGAAGGGAAAACACTAAGACGACTTTCTCTGACAAAGCCATACCTGAAATGGCTATAATCTCACATATCTATGCCAATAGCTTGCTTACAGTTCCCTAGCTTCAATGGAGCACCTGTCCGTACTAGCAGTTCAGTACGTTCTAGATCTGTTTCTTGAAAGCAAACCTTCTCAACTCTATGGCACCAGCGTTCTATGCAAACAACATTTATTAATAGGAAAAGCCACGGAAACAGAAAAAATGAAATAAAATAAAAGGGAAATAAAGCAAGAAGGCCAAGACAACTTGCTCTACGAAAGAATACCTTGAACCACCATTCAATTTTTTTTTTTTTATGGAATTACCTTTCTGGAGCTTCTAGCGATGGTTGTACCACTTGGAGCACCTGTGAAACGGGCATGGGCAAAAACACCTGAAAGGCTGAAACAGTTGAGAGACTCACAATTCCATGAAGCTGAATCAACCATGGAAAGAGAACAAGAAAACAGAAAAAGAAAAGGTAAATAACAGAAAAGGAAAGTGAAGGGAGAAGGAAACTTTCTCTGGGAAAGCCAAACACCTGAAACAACTATTTGTCTCTGTGATGATTTTTCTACTTGGATTACCCAGCAGTATACATCCTAGACTTGATTTCTTTTCTGAATTCTGCGGGACCTACAAGAAAACAACATACTCTAAAAGAATCATGTGTGAGTGAAACTTAATTCAATATGAGAAGAAAAGAAAACCAATGAGACAAGGCTAATATAATTTTCTTTGAGAAAGTCAAAACTTGAGGCCAATAGCTTCTAAAGTTGATTATCATACTTAAAGCACCTTTTTCTTAACATAGATGTTTGTTCATCCTACAACTGTTTTCTTCTTGACTCCTTGCTTAACAGTATCAACCATTGATATTTCTAATTATGAGGGGATATTCCTTTAATTTCATCCTAGCAGCTTTGAGAAACATAAGATTGACAAACTAAAATACAGCCATAAATAACTATAACATAGTCTTTTCATAAACATCAAGAGCAATGCCTAACCACTTGGGAAATTTATGAGTATGGATGCACTGATATCATGTTTAAAGGGTCAGTAGTCTACGACCAATTAAACACATCAACTGAATGTATCTAAAAGGAACGAAGGGAAAAAATACTCAAAACCCCGAAACCAAGAATTGGCATCAGATTTCTCATCTATGTTTTCAAAATCACAAAGACTCATTCATAGAATAGACTAGTCTACCTGGTTTGCAGAGCATTAATAGCCTTACTAAGAACAATTTATTCTTTGGAAGTCAATTAAGAAATTAAACGCTGCCAAATGCATTCAAAGAGGATTATACAGTATGAAACATGGAAGATAAAGGGAGGCATACCTAAAAATAATAATCCGGTCCTCTAGATGCTCATTGATCATTAGTTAGATGCTTGCCTCCTTGAAGGCCTTGTAAAGGTTATTGATAAGTGCCATTTTCTTTTTCGGTATATTAAGATAATAGAGGAATGTGATGTGATAAAGGGGGTTACATGAAGATAGCATTTGACAGCATAAGGCTAACTTTGGCCCACCAACCTCTGTACGTCAATTGCAAAAAGAGTAGTAGTGACCCTGAAACATGATTAACACGAGACATATTTTGCAAGTAAGAGAAATTCATCAAACTAAAGGTCAATCAGAAAAGAAAGCACATTGAAGAATTATGCATAATTGAAGAAGTAAAAGAAGTAAACAGCAAAAATAACTAATTCAAAGGAAATGGGACAATGATTACATGATCCATAAGTAGACAACTAGAAACTGAACTCATCCCTCCTCAGGTTCTAGATGGAGAGGAAGCCAACCACATGGATATTACTATTACGTAGAAAACTCATAACTAGATAAAAGACAAAGACTTTGGAAATTAAAAGCAAATGAAGAAATCGCATTTTTTTCTTCTCTCGACTAGTGAATAAAAGGATTTAACATGCATTGTGGTTCAATCAAATATCTAAAACTCCAGGCGTAACATATATATACCTATAGTAAGCACTTAAAATGTGAAGGAATTTCAAGAAAGTGAAACTGCTTACAACTTCTATTTCAAGGCAACTTTTAAAAGATAACCATGTCCCCATATTCAAGTTGCAAAAGGCAAGGAGTGCTTTACAAATCTTGGAGCTTTTACTGCAAATAATTCCAGCTGAAGAGGCAATTTGAAAAAAGAAAGATAGTGAATTCCACCAGAAAAAGCATGATAGGACACACCTGACTACCAAGGAAATTTAGCTTCTTGTCACGGTTTCACATATCACATTGCAAAAGGCAAGGAATGATTTATAACTCTGGAAAATTTACACTGCAAATAAATCCAGCTGAAGAGGAAATGTGATAAAAGATAGAAAGAAATTGAACTCCACTTGAAAAAGTGTAATATGGCATGCCTGACCGCCATGGAAACCTAGCTTATTGTACATGTTTTCACATTTCACATAGGGTTCAAGCCATATCATCCATGTTGCTTGTTGCCAACTTCCTCGCTCTTCACAGTTTGAAGAGCTTCGTTCAAACGCCTTCCATCTCTGCTAAAGCCCATCCAATGTCTTTCCAAAGATTTTCTCAATGTCCATACAGTACTAGAACATATGAACTAGCACAGGAATTCACAATGTACATTTTTTTAATAGAAAGTCATAATGCCCATGTCTATCATAATGCTGCAGAAAGAAAGCGTTTCAGCAATTTGGGAGGTGAAAAATTAAAAAGCCCAAGAAAGGTTTAGCTAGTTATGGAAGACATGTGAGCAAACCTAAGCCCAAGTAGTAAGTTCTGAAGAGGGCTCTTTTTCGACACTGCAGCACCAAGCATATAATGTTACTGTATAACCCAATTACAAAGTAACAATTAAGCACAAATCAAACCAACAGAGACCATGACATCGAGAATGAGATCGGATAGAACAAGCACATCTCCATACAAAGTTTTAAGACATCAATACCACAAAGAACAGTATCCCCATTAAGTTGATGTCAGTAGAGTCCAAAGAGTATCAATAAACATGTGAAGTTAAATTGAAATTTTAACACCAAACAATTGACGATCCAAATGGAAACACCTAAAATGGAAAGAGAAGAAGTAATAAACTAGGAGGAAACTGAAGGGCAAACACTAAGATAACTTTTTCTGACAAAGCCATACCTGAAATGGCTATATCTCTCACATATCTATGCCAATAGCTTGGTCACAGTTCCTAGCTTCGATGGAGCACCTGTCCGTACTAGCAGTTCAGTACATTCTAGATCTATTTTCTTGAAAGCAAACCTTCTCAACTCTATGGCACCGGTGTTCTATGCAAACAACATTTATTAATAGGAAAAGCCACGGAAACAGAAAAAAAGGAAATAAAATAAAAGGGAAATAAAGGAAGAAGGCCAAGATAACTTACTCTACGAAAGAATACCTTGAACCACTATTCAACTTTTTTTTTATGGCAATACCTTTCTGGAGCTTCTAGCGACGGTTGTACCACTTGGAGCACTTGTGAAACGGGACGGGCATGGGCAAAAACACCTGAAAGGCTGAAACAGTTGAGAGAATCACAATTCCATGAAGCTAAATCAACCATGGAAAGAGAACAAGAAAACAGAAAAAGAAAAGGTAAATACTAGAAAAGGGAAGTGAAGGGAGAAGGAAACTTTCTCTGGGAAAGCCAAAAACCTAAAACAACTATTTGTCTCTCTGATGATTTTTCTACTTGGATCCCCCAGCAGTATACATCCTAGACTTGTTTTCTTCTCTATAGCAAACTTTTCTGAATTCTGCGGGACCTACAAGAAAACTACATACACTAATAGAATTGTGTGCAAGTGAAAAAGCTTAATCAAATATGGAAAGATAAAAGTAAATAAAAGAAAGGGAACAGAAGGGAGCTATATATCTTACATCACTACGCCAATGGTTCATAACTTCTAGCAATGGTTTCCATACTTTGAGCACCTGTCTTGACATAGCATTTTGTACATACTAAATTTGCCATCTTTCTGACAGCAAATTTTGTTGAACTCTGTAGCACGGAAAAAAGCCATGCAAACAACATATATTAATATGAAAAGCCATGGAAACAGAAAAAAAAATAAAAAAAAATAAAAGAAAATAAAGGAAGAAGGCCAAGACCAATTTTTTTTTTAAAAAAACTTGTTCTGCAAAGAATACCTTGAACCACTATTCAACTTGTTTTTTTTATGGCAATACCTTTCTGTAGCTTCTAGCGATGGTTGTACCACTTGGAGCACCTGTGAAACAGGCATGGGCAAAAACACCTGAAACAGCTGAGAGAATCACAATGTATGAAGCTGAATCAACCATGGAAAGAGAACAAAAAAACAGAAAAAGAAAAGGTAAATAATAGAAAAGGAAAATGAAGGGAGAAGGAAACTTTCTCTGGGAAAGCCAAACACCCTAAAACAACTATATGTCTCTGTGATGAATTTTCTACTTGGATCACCCAGCAGTATACATCCTAGACTTGTTTTCTTCTTTATAGCAAACTTTTCTGAATTCTGTAGGACCTATACAAAAACAACATACACTAATAGAATTGTGTACAACTGAAAAAGCTTAATCAAATATGAAAGGATAAAAGTAAATAAAAGAAAGGGAACAGAAGGGAGCTATATATCTTACATAGCTACACCAATGGTTCATAACTTCTAGCAATGGTTTCCATACTTTTGAGCGCCTGTATTAACATAGCATTTTGTACATACTAAAATTGCCATCTTTCTGACAGCAAATTTTGTTGAATTCTATAGCACAGATGTTCTAGAAAACAACATAGAAAAATAGAAACATGCATGAGTGAACTCAATCAACCATGGAAAGTGAAAAAGAAAAAGAAATAATAGGAAAATAAAGGGAGAAGGCTAAGATAATTTACTCTAATATAGCTATACCAAAATTTGAAAGGTATTTTCTGGGACTTGTAATTATCCAGACATAAATAAACATTACTTCTTTAATAGTTATAATGATCAGTTGAGCGGTCTTCTGAAGTGGCAGTGTTGAAAAAAGTAGCATCAGAAAATTGGTGAGGCCATGACTCCATACCAACAAATCGAGTGGATCTAGTGTGTATTGACAAGTACGTAAGGAAGCAAACTGTAGAGTAGGTGACAAGTGTTGATGGCTTGTAATAAAGTGTGGAACATCTCATGAGTAGGCAGTGAAATCATATGCCATGATGCTTTTGTCAACCATCTAAGAGGATGCAGGATGCCCCAATATTGATTTTATATGAGAATATCCAACTGCAAGACAATCAGAAGGCCAAGAGGTTACCCTTTGACGAAGGAATAAGAATGTAAAGCAGACTATAATACCCAAATCTACTTGTATCATAAGGCTTCACTAATTCTCCATGAAATCTACACAAGTAGCAAATACAGTTGTCGTACCTGCATACGACGATAACATTAGATTTGAAGGATGGTTAGCCGATTTTACATGAAAACACCATAAAAGAAAGCTATTGAATTTACAAACATTTAACTTGTTTTGTTATGTCAAAACCTAATTATCAAGACATAACTAACGTTACTTCTCTAATTGGTGACAGAAAACCAACAGATTGAGTGGATAAATCTTGACAAGGAGGCTAAGTCTAGAGTTTGTGATAAATCTTGATGGCAGGCAATAATAGTAGATGATCCAAAAGTAGATACAACTCAAGAAAGATCATAACTACAAAGATTATTAACAAATATTGTGAAATCTTGACAGATAAATCTTGACAAGTATCTCAATAAAGCAAAGTATAGAGTTTGTGATAAATCTTGATGGCAGGCATTAGTAGTAGATGATCCAAAAGTAGATACAACTCAAGAAAGATCATAACTACAAAGATTATTAACAAATATTCTGAAATCTTGACAGATAAATCTTGACAGATAAATCTTGACAAGTATCTCAAGAAAGTAAAGTATAGAGTTTGTGATAAATCTTGATGGCAGGCAGTAATAGTAGATGATCCAAAGTAGATACAACTCAAGAAAGATCATAACTACAAACATTATTAACAAATATAGTGAAATCTTGAAAATAAATCTTTTTTTTTGTTTTGTTACTAGTAAAAGTAGATGCAACTCAAGAAAGATCATAACTACAAACATTATTAACAAATATTGTGAAATCTTGAAAATAAATCCTTTTTTTCTTTTGTTACTAGTAAAAGTAGGGCATTAAAATTGGGCAAAAGTAAATGGAATTGATATATAAAGTAAAGTTAACAAGTAGTGCAGTTCTAACCCAAGAACTTCAGAATATGAAACTGCTTAAAACTTGGATTTTAAAAATAAATTCATGTTCCCGTCATCCTGGAAACAAGAAACTGAACAATTAAATCAAGAAACAAGTAAATCAACATGGGATTAACAGAAATTGAACAAACTTCGATTATCAACCTTTAATCAAGAAACAAGTAAACCACTACTCATTCTCGCTATGTTTTTTTTTTTTTTTCTCGCGCTATGTTTTGTTCTTAAAATTCTGCATTCCCATTACTTATATATATAGAGAGAGTACTACTCGTTTTAAGTTTAAAACGGTAACCTTTTAATTTTTGACGCGCTTTTCACTTTCTTTCCTAAAAATATTACTATTTATTTATTTAATTATTAACCATAACACACGCAACATTTTTTTAAGTATGTTTTAAAAATATTAAATATTTTTGGTAAGTAGATGATTTTTACAAAACAGTTAGATATCATTTGGTCGCAAATAAAGTTATTATGAAATTATAGTCTTGAGATTATAATTATTTAACTTTATTTTATTTCACTTGAAATAGCACACTATTAATTCAAATTAAATGTTATAGCCATAGTTTTATTTTAATTGTAATTCGTAGCAAACATCCCTTTTTTTGCCATTTGATTCGGTATATAATTAGCCATTTTCGGTATATAATTAGTCATTTTATACATTGTGGTATAAAATGTGTTTGTATTTATATAAAGCGAGAGAAAAGTGTATATACAAATACAAATACATATATTTTCGTCTTATACACATATAATTATATAAATACAAATCTTATTATACGAATTACAATGTATAAATGAATTTATACAAAACTGAACAATTTATATAAAATTGAATGTTTGTAGCAAATTATACAAATCAAAAGCTCCATAGCAATTATGCAAACTATAGCTATAACATACAAATATAATTTTTACGTTTGCTATATGTGAAAGTTGCTTTTCTTTTAATTCACTGCTCGAATCAAATTACAAGTGTTTTTTTTTTGTTTTAGTCAATCAAATTACAAATTTTATTTTATTTTTTAAAAAAGAGAAAGAAAATCAGAGTTCAATTCCTAATATGAAAAATCCTGGATAAGAATAACTTTTTATGAATTCGAATTAGTCAAGCATCCGTATCAATATCATTGAGAAACCAATAAAGAAAAATGAAACAAAAAACAAAATGTTAGGAAACTACAAAGTAGTCGGAGTGGGGCCGGCAGGCGTAGACGTATTCGGGTCGGGCCCGCCGACAAGAGGAAAAATTCAATTTTGGTACCAACTGTATCAGTATATGTTAGTATCAGATATTCTGTCCTTCTTGATCATTTCTAACAGTACGAAGATTTGCCATTGATATGGTGAGTACTTATCTCGGTTTACACTAATTATGTTGGCAAAAACAATTGAATGGGGGTTTTAAGGGTAGTTTTTATTTGTTTATTTCATGAATTTTCAGGCAGGGAGCGGGGAGGAATCAAAGAAGTTGCAGCTCTACTCATATTGGAGGAGTTCATGTGCATTTCGTGTTCGAATAGCTCTTAATTTGAAAGGTTATTTTTCCGATTACTTTCTCTTTCCGTTCCGAAAAAAAGAGTATTCATTGTTAACCTTTTTTTGTTTTTTCTTGTTAGGATTGGATTATGAGTATAAAGCTGTTAACTTGCTTAAAGGAGAACAAAGGGACCCTGGTAAGTCTGTAACTTTTTAGTTTTTTTTTTTTCTTTTTTTGGGTGTTTG